AGCAAACCTTAAGATTTAATAATTGATCTTAACATTATTTACCACTGTTCGTTTCATTTACTAATTAAAAACTAAGAAGCAGAAACTTGTTGACTGTTGGTTTCATAATTGGCAGTTCAGTGCATTTTCCACATTATCATGCAATTTAAAATAATTTAAATAAATATTTTAATATTATCATTACAATAGTATTCAGTCCAAAATAAAGGAGGAAGGTAGCCCCAACGTAATACTATGAGAAAAAAATGGTAATTTATACACTTAACGATTTGTTTAGCTACAACTTAATAATCGCATTGTTTATAATCTAACAATAATCACACAAACTATAACGACAAAATATTCGAAATACTTGTCACGAGATCATTAAAGTGTTTTTATGTTACTTAAGTTGTTTAGCCCCAACAATAGTCAAACGCATACTGAGACCAAACACCACACCATAGAGTAATGTAATATATGTAAATAAATACTCACAATCAGTAGAGACTCCTCTGTGTGAGTGTGTATATATATTACATATGTATGTACACTTCTAAATCAAATACTTTAGAAAGAATTAAAAAGTTTATAACAATCAGGTAATCATGGAATTATTTTACATACTGAAGAAGAGTTTCACTCCGAAAAGCAAAACATTCTCAATATGTATTCTCCTTTGTGTTGTAAATAAAAAGCTTTCTCAAGGAAGCAACCTGTTCTTTAGACATTCTTTGGAAGTAGTACATAACTAGAGTACATTTTGATACTTCTAATACCTATACTCACAGACACTTTTATTTTCAAGTTCAACAAAGCGTATATCTAATGTGTATATGTTGCAGATTATATTTAGAAAAAGGGCTGTGTGATTTTGAAGAAACGCAATTTTTACCAAATGAGTAATATAAAAAACATTAGAAAATTACTATTACAGTAGACTCTAACTTTAATGCCACTGAACACATTGCCACGTGGGTCACTTCCCCTTCACACGTACTTTCGCGTACACACATTCGTTCTCCCACCACATTGCGTACGCTGGCGCACCAGTACGATCCAGCTTTTGCGCAGGCGCTATGGCCGAGGCCATGGCGACAGAACTTAGCATAGAGGGAGTTCTAAACTCATTGCCATTTTACTCTCCTACAGCCCCGAAAATGACATTATAGTTAGAGCCTACTGTATCAGGGTTTCAATAAAAATGTGAGACATTTTTAACGTGGTGTACTCTACACGCTAAGCTAAGATGAAAATTAAGAATCACAAAATCGCTCTGGAAGCTTCGTTTCCGAAGTTATTAATTACACTGTTTAACACATAAAAATGTTTGTACTTTTCAATAAGCGTTTCTGGTAGACCATTGTGAGTTGAATACGAATCTGCAAACCGTTTCTTTCCAGCACGTCCAGTTCTTGAAAAAATCCATTTTTAAAAAATTGCAAATTTTCAACTGTGGAACTGTGTTGTGTTTCTACAGTAATAGTTATTCAGCTTCTTTTGACACGAAATAGTTCTCTGGACTCTTCCAAACAAAATGATATAAATTATTACTATAATTTATTGAACATTGTTTAAACATATTTAGATGTCTATAATTTAATAACAATTTATGTAATTTTGTTCGCAAGAGTCCAGAGAATTAATACTTGTAAAAAGAAACTGAATAACTATTACTGTAAAAGCACAATACAGCTCCAAAGTTGAAAATTTGCAATTTTTTTTAAAATTGATTTTTTCAAAAACTGGACGTACTGGAAAGAAACGGTTTGCAAATTCGCATTCCGCTCGTGAAGATCTATCAGAAACGCTTATTCGAGGTTACAAAAAAGGAAAAATGTTCAAATTTGTTGAACAGTGTTATCGAAGATACAAATGAAATACGTCAAGGACAACGGGTTATATTACTACTAAGTTAGTACTAGCGAGAGCTGCCTAGCTGGTTCACGGACTCGGTCGATGACTGTCAGTGCCGCAACCACCTGGAAGGACACGCTGCTTACCTCGTTGCCGAAGTGGTGTGACGTACGACATCAGACGATACCCCAATAGATTTTTTTTAAACTTGCTGATACATCCAATACAAATCATGGCACGACATTAAATCTGCTGACTCGTTAAAATATGTTCGACTACGAGGTAAGCGGGACTGAACAATCATCGGCTGACCTCGTGAATCACCTGGGCAGCGCTTGCTGCCAGAATAACCCATCGCGCCAAATGTATTATAGGCGGCTCAAAAACACGGAATTTCGTCTCGGAAATCGTCTACCAGGACTCATCAGTAGGGCTGACGGTAGACGACCCCTACCCCAGACGCCTGGGTTACTCCTCGGCGGAACCCCTTAAGTAGCCAAACGTTCTAATTACCGCTTGCGAGAGAACTCGCCACCTAGTGGCCTCTACCAAAAACCCAGGCGACTGAGAGAAATGTCTCCACACACCGCACAGTGGGGTATTTGACCCGAAAAGCTGGCCAAAACCTAAAATTTAATCTTTGTTCAAAATGAATGAAACTTCGTCCCTATGTTCCTAAGAATGAATAAATGTAAACTGTTATCTTGGTTTTTCGAAAACAGCAGTATTTAACAACAAATTGAGGCTTGAAAGTCAACAATTTTTGTGCTCGAAGAAAATGCCAAGAAACCTATATTAAGAAAGTGATTTATAACAAGTGTAGTGTTAAAAAAGTGCAATAACAACATATGTAGGATATAGAGGAAGGTATGTAGATTAATTTGACACCTTGTTTCCTTCACTTTTTCGTGTGGTTTTGATAAAATAACAATTCGAAGACAGTGTTTTTTTCGTACAATCAAGTATAAAACATTGAATTACTTTTTTGCACTCCAAAGCACCCCTTTACTTTTGATACATTTTTATCCTTGGACATTGCTTTATACAGGGTGTTCGACAACTAGTGGGAAAAAATTCAAGGGATGATTCTTCGAGGCGAAATAAGACAAAAATCAAGAATAACGAAATTGCGAAAAATGCTTCGTTTGTTAGTTATAAGCGTTTAAACATTGACCCAAATCATGGCAATCCGCGCGCACGGAGTGTCAGCGAATCACGGCTCATCAGGGGCGTACAGTCACTTTAAAGACGACGTGCAGGAAAAGTCGGTAGAACAGCTGTTTACTTACCTCGTAGAAGATGTCGAGAACTTGTGCCCCCGGCATTTGAGTCGAATCCACATGTATCGCATTAACTCTGATTACTCGATAAAACTCGCTTATTAATATCTTTAAATAAGATATCATCCTATCGAGCGAAGCTTCGAACAATAAACAATTAACGCATGCACTCGTTTAAACACATCATTCGGCACCCCGCGACAGAGGACAAGCTCGTCCACACAGTCACTGAGTCACCCCCTAAATAAAAATGATTCAGGTCTGAATGACATCAGCCGTTTACGGTCGACCCACGAAGGCGGCTTGTTACCTGGAACGGAGCGCGCCACTGTTTATTCCTGAAATATTGAATATGGACTTACTGTATGTTTTATGTGCATTGCACATTTTATTACTGTTTGAAAACCTATTCAAAGTGCGCACGCGCATGTGGAACATTCCAGCATGCTCCACCAGTTTGGGCCCTTCCGGCCAGCGCGCGGGCTAGTCCGCTCTTACGATCCGTCCACGCGACATGTTGTAGAGCTTACGCGCGGTTAACCAAATGTAGTCAGCAACGTATTTAAATATATCTATATATTTATCTAAGGTACCTCACATTGGTCATTGTTCTTGCCCCTGAAATACAACTCAACAATTACCACTTCGATCTTACTCCAAGTGTTTGAGGTTCTTGTATCCGCAACAAAATAATATGCAATTAACATGGATCATACAAAACGTATAATGATATTAGAATGAAACTAAGATGAAGTTTGCCGCATCTGCATAACGATGCATGAAGGAACTACAAAAATGAAATAAAGAAAATTGTTAAACACATACATTCGGTGTAATATGAACCATTTCTAACGTGGAGTTGGCATTCGACGTTGAAAGTTCTTTTTAGAAGTTAATGTCAAGAGGGACAGCTGACAACACAATAGGCAAGGTCTTCGTCGATGGCAGTAACACGTTAGAGGCAATCCGCGGGTGGTCGCCCTGCAGAAGACAAGAGACAGTTTTATAATGTCCAGACTTGCACACCCTCGGCATTGTGACGTCAAAATTCTCTGTTATCTCCCTTAACGACCGACACCACACATCCTGGCGAAGTCCAGCTATCTCACCGTTCCGGGAAACCGTGAGCAATATGCGTACCGTGTGCAAAACCTAATAGCGCTCCTCAAGCGACACGTTAAGTCAGTCTGACAGTGCGTCTCGAAGTGTCAACCTCATTGTAAAATAACTCACTATAATTATATTACTATTTGTACTTATAAATCTTATTGTGTAATAAAGGTATCTAGAACTACGGCTCCGGAACTCAAGTTTTTTTTATTATTTTATCAGGAATTATTACGTGACAGCATCGTGGCCAAGTGGCCCCGAGACCCCGAGTGGTGTATGAGAAAAAAATACAGATGTTGCTTTAAGAATATGCGAAAAGAAACGCGACCTCCAAGACACATTCCCATGCAGCTCTTCCTTCCCAAAAAGTATTGACCATGGAAGAGTGGGGATCGACGTATGACGCCACATCGATCCTAACGAGGGAGGATCAGTTCAACAATATCAGTTGTCCTTTCCGAACGGTGTCCTTTGCATTCTACGAGCAAATAGAGTTCATGTTCGGAAAACTAAGTTTTAATTTATGTAGCGATTACGTACTGATTATTTAGTGGTGTCGCGTATGTCGTCGTTATAAGTAGTCCAAATTAGTAGGTTGTTCGGAAAGTAATTTCGTTTTTTCCCAACAGAGGACTTAATTGTATTTTTTCACATCCAACTTCACACTTAAGGCGCATAATCATTATATACTTTGACAGCTGATATAGAAAGGCTTGCTTGTGAAAAAGTTCGATTGATTCTACGCAGTAGTTTTTGGTTGGTGCCCTTTCAAATATGGAAAGTGAAAAGCAGCATTTTCGGCATATTTTACTTTTTTACTATCGAAAAGGTAAGACTGCTGTTCAAGCAAGAAAAAAATTATCCGATGTGTATGGAGAAGATGTATTGACAGAACGCCAGTGCCAAAACTGGTTCGCAAAATTTCGATCCGGCAATTTTGATGTTGCAGATGCACGTTCTGGAAGGCCAGTTGAAGCTGATGAAGACACAATAAAGGCATTAATTGATGCAAACTGGCGAATAACAACTCGTGAGATCGCTGAGAAATTAAATTTATCGAATTTGACCGTTCATGATCATTTGAAACGCCTAGGTTTAATCTCAAAGCTCGACATATGGGTTCCTCATGTTCTTATGGAAAGAAATTTGTGCCGTCGCGTTGATGTCTGTGATATGCTTGTCAAACGTTAAGACAATGATCCATTTTTGAAGCGCATCATCACTGGGGACGAGAAATGGGTTGTCTACAACAATGTTAAACGCAAGAGATCATGGAGTAAAAAAGATGAACCGGATCAAAGCACTTCGAAAGCCGATATTCATCAAAAAAAGGTGATGCTATCTGTTTGGTGGGATTTCAAAGGAATCGTTTTTTTTGAGCTTCTACCGGACAACACAACGATCAATTCTGAAGTGTACTGTAATCAGCTGGACAAATTGAATGATTCACTTAAACAGAAAAGGCCAGAATTGATCAATGGAAAAGGTGTAGTGTTCCACCAAGATAATGCGAGACCTCATACAAGTTTGGTAACTCGCCAAAAGCTTTTACAGCTTGGATGGGATATACTGCCACACCCACCATATTCTCCAGATCTGGAACCTTCTGATTATTATTTGTTCCGGTCTCTACAAAATTTTGTAGACGGTAAAACCTTTACTTCAAATGAGGAGGTCAAAAATCACATGGATCAGTTTTTTGCCAGCAAAGAATACAAATTTTATGAGCGTGGAATCATGCTACTGCCAGAATGATGGCAAAAGGTATTGGACCAGAATGGACAATGTATAATTCAATAAAATATTTATTCACTATAAGAAAATCGTCTTTCATTTTCATAAAAAAAACGAAATTACTTTCCGAACAACCTAATAATTATTGTAGATTTTATTAATTATTGTAGGTTTTATTAAGTACTTTAGATTTTATTAATTATTGTAGGTCTTATTAAATATTGTAGATTGTATTAATTATTGTAGGTTTTATTAAATATTGTAGATTTTATTAATTATTGCAGGTTTTATTAGTTATTGCATGTTAAAAATTAGTATAAATAGATGTTATAAATTAATTAGAGTAGGTTACAAATTAGTGTTAAATAGTTATAAATTAATTATCTTGAGTGTTAGTTTTGAGTAACGTGTAGAATGTTAAACCCAACGAAGGAACCGCTCGCGGGTGTAATTAATCGCGCAGTGTGCGTGAACATTTTTCGCGGTCGGGACAATCGCTCAGTGTGTGTGGACATTTTTCGCGGACGGGACAATCGCTCAGTGTGTGTGGACACTTTTCGCGGAATTATGATACGTGACAACTAGAGGAAACATTAACCCTCTCTACTCGATAATATTCGTAAGAAGATATTTACATTTTTTGCGAATTCGGCTCAAATACCGCGGGCACAACTTATCAACATCTTCTACGAAGTAAGTAGACAGCTATTCTACCGACTTTTCCTACACGTCGTTGAGTCTTTAAAGTGACTGTACGCCCCTGAGGAGCCGTGATCCACTGACACTCCGTGCGCGCGGATTGCCATCATTTGGGTCAATTTTTAAATGCTTATAACTAACAAACGAAGCATTTTTCGCAATTTCGTTATTCTTGATTTTCATCTTATTTTGCCTCAAAGAATAACCCCTTACATTTTTTCCCACTAGTTGTCGAACACCCTGCATATTTCTTGAAAAATTAGGTGCTGAGAAGTGCTAAAACTACAGTTAGTTCTCTTCAAAAGTATCGCCTCACTTCTGCATTAGTGAAAAATTATTGGGATTCAGTGTTCCATAACTTTGGTAATATTCGTCAGAATTTGTTTAAACGAACGGCAAATTAAAGCCTGAACTTTCTACCTTTTGACCCTTCCGTTAGATTTTATTTAACTCGGTGCCCAAGAGGTAAAATCTTCCCGTATAAAGAGGGCCTTCAAATTGTAAAATTTTGTTCATATTTCAGAACGGATGTTCCTGATAGATAACAGTGTTCAGAATTTTGCATGTATTTCAGAAATAATGATTCTTTGCGTTCAAAACAAGCCAAATTGCATCCAAAACGGATGTTTTTTAACGAAGTTATGGCCATGTACAGAAACGCATGCCTCTTTATGGTTTCATGTCTTCCGTGCATGGCACCGTTCAATGGTCTGCGTTTCTGTAAATGACTATAACTTCGTTAAAAAACCTCCGTTCTGGATGCAGTTTAGCTTGTTATGAAGGCAGAGGATTATACGATAGGCGTCTATTGTATGGTTGATCTGATGATGGGGTAATTGAGGTGTGGATGATAGATCGATGAAGGACAGATATATCATAACTATAAGATATTGAAATAAAGATTGGGGATATAGGTTGGTAACGCGCGAGCGTAACGGGAAGTTCGCGTGCGAGCGTGCGTGCGACACCTGCACCCCCCATTGTCTGCTGTACCTTGCAACGAGCAACACGTGTGCAAAAAATACTATCTGATGAAGAATCTTGCAAAGCATTTTTTGACGAAAATTAATTCTATTATATATTGCAAATAAAAAATATTCTTAAAATATATATTATTTTATATATTATATACCATAAATCAGAATGTATATGATCGTAGATACAATCGACCCGCGTGCATCCATCGCTGTCAGTTAATTGTTAACCTATTATAAATTTCGTCTGTCAATTTCTGACGATTGAAGTTTTTAGTATGTTATTAACTTTATTAGGACAAGGGTTCCTTGATGACCTTCTAGTTTTATTATATCATATACATATACATATCTTACCATACACAAAACATTTGAAAAATATAGGTTTCCTTTAAAGGGCTGTATTTTTGTTAAACAACATAGTTCTTCGATAAGGTTTGGTTTATTTTAAAGACAAACGATCATACTTTCCGGTGGTATATATCAAAATTGCAAAAAAATATTGTTTGCACTCCGTAGCACTTGACGAATATCAAGGAAAAGTACAGTTTGACACACTCCTATTTAAGGGGGGAGCCTGGTGTAACTCGCCGAAAATTGAGGAATATTCGGAAATTATTTTTGAAGAAAGTACTCAATCGATCCTTCTCAAAATTATAGGTTGTTATGTTACCACATTATAGTTTATAACAAAATTTTTTTTATTAAAAAATGACAACCAACAAAGTTATGAGAGCTTCTTCCCACTCTGTCGGCGCCGCACTTCCGTAGTAGCACAAAATATTGTTTAAATATTTTTTTCAGATATTCAATCAATATTTTTTGAGCCACACTTTTTAATATGAAATAAATATTAGATTGAAATATTATATACAGATACAGGAAATATGAAATAAATGTTAAAGAAATGTAAATTAAATATTCATCAAATATGAAAGAAATATTTAAAATACGTAAAGTAAATATTCAGAAAATATACAATCAATATTTAAAAAATGTAAAATAAATATTTCTGTTATATTCTATGAATGATTAAAAATTAGTCTATATTTTTTAAACATTTATTTTACATTTAATGTATGTGTATACAATCATTGAATCGAATGTTTGCTTTATATTAAAATGTGTGGCTCAAAAAATATTGGTTTGATGTTTGAAAAAATATATTTAACTCACTTTTATATTTGGTTTGATAATTATGGTTCTCTAGATCGGTCTTTAGTGTTTTTTTAATGTAATATTTATTATATATCTTCTTTTAAACTTCGATTCCAAACGCGAACTAAAAATGGGCGCACACGTGATCGCGCGGCGCGGGCATTCCTCGGAGCGGTAACCTATCCCTCCTTGTTACGTGGGCCTACGTTGTTGAACCTCGGTGATATGTAATGTAGCAGTGTTTCTATCCCTTCGAATCATCAGATAAAATCGTTTTGCCAACATTTCAATTTTCTCTAACAATACAAGTGGCACAAAAAAAGAAACACTACCGTTCAAAAGTGTGGAAGCAGCTGAACAGAATCTTATGGAACTTTATTGTTTATAATTTTTTATTATAATTGTAATGTACTCAATCGTATGCGAGCATCACCTGTCCCCAAAATGGGGAACCAGGCCAACGGTACCCGCGACGGGGACTCAGTCCACGCCCGAGAGGCTCCTAGTACATAACATTCCGTAATTACATGTAAGTGTGAATTCTTGCTAATAAAGATGTAAGTACATAACAATAATCAAAGTATGACTTTCTCTGAAAATTGAATTTAGTAAAGCGAAAGAAGCTAGAGAAAAAATTATTTGGTTACAGCCTTGACTTGGCTGTCGCTAAAAATAAAGACACGCATTGTCTTATTTCCACCTCCGTAATCGTCGTTTGCCTTCTTCTTGTAACAGCTGTGAAATTAAAAATGAAACAAAATACATACATATGTATTACGTATAGCTCGTGGCAATACATAAAAGTAATAATTATAGTTACTTACTCATTACAGCATCATATAATTTTAAATTTATAAATGATAATTTTTTCTTCTTTCCTTGTCCGAAATAATTTGTAGCTGCTTCATTTGTCATAATTTTCCGAAGCATATTATAAATAATTTTTTTGTTGGTGTCTCCACCGACTAAATATAACAGTTGTACCTGAAAAATATATGCTGTGAGAAAGTCATCATGGCAAAAACTCTGTTAGGACAACAAATGCGGTATGTGTGTGTGTGTATGCGTGTAGTCCTTGCTAACGAAAAACAAGATGAACCCCCAGCGACAATCGGTCACGTACTGCCTTTACAAAAGTCTAGTCTGTCTCGAACAACCAAACGTGCAAGAAGCATTGTTACAAGTGTCCGATATTCAAATATCATTCAACGTCCAACATATGCCATTATTTATTTTATGTCAATATTACAGATTATATATATGAACCACTTACTAAACAAAAATAAATACAAACCAGCGAATTAAATTTTTCCGTGTCTTCTGATATCATCGTATCAAAATCGTTGATGACAACTATCGACGCTAATGGTAATTGATTCAGAAAATCATTAGCTAATTCGTCATGATTGCTTCCAGCCGTTACTCTAACATTTAATAGACGTTCAATATTCTCTAATTTATTTAAAATTAGTTTTACGTCGTATTTTAGCTCAATGTATTGCCGATTTAATACGGCCAATTGTCCCTCATCAACAAAGTATTATTATCATCTTAAGATTATCTTATTATATGTATAATTGATTACTATTTTGATATTTATAATAAAGATTTAGCATTTTTGGTACTTTGGGATTGTCCCGTCGACCATTTCCGCCAAACACGAAATTGTAGTAGGGGTGTAGAGCAGACCCAAGACCTAGTTTAGTTTAGTTTGGCCTATTCCTCCCGGGAGGAGGGACTTTCGCTACTCCCCCCCAAGGCCCATCAGTGGCGTGATGCCGGTAGATTTCACACAGCCCTGCAATAGGACTGCGGTGGGCGTTACCCGGGGAGTCTGTTTCCCCCGGCTTTCCAACCCGACCAACTTTTTTAGGCCCGGGTCACATGGAGGCAGGGGAAGTACTCGCGCAGGGGGCGGAGAATCACTAGGATCGTCCCATCCCTACCTGGTAAAATAGCTAAAGGAGTATGGTCGTCGGGGCAACCGATCCTTCGTCTCCAAAGTGAGTACCAGCTCACTCTTTGCTTCACCCACAGACCGGGTCTGTACCAGGGGTGGTATCGTCGTGTTTGTGTACTTCCATCATCAAGAGAGAGCTGTATCACCTAGTTCAACCCCGTATCAGTTACCTACCTATGTCCCGAGTAATTCAGGAACCCCCCCTCCTCTGGTTACCCATTGTCAAAACT